CTTGGTGTCAAGATGATCAATTTGAGGATATTTGAGCATCAAAACAACCTCTTCTAGTTAATTTTCTTAGGTAGGCTCAAATTTGATTGTTTAGAGCCTCGGCTCTATATAAATTTTTTCCTTCTAAAATTAGGGATTGTATAGTATGATATCATTTATCTTTTTTAAAAGAGATTACAATTATTATCAACTATTAGATGTCAAATTGGATGGCTTCGATGAGTTATGAAGTTCGGAAAATTTCTTTCTTTGAACTTTTGAGTCAAAGCAATACACTCTTACCACCACCCAATTTAAAATCTAATGGATAAGAGTGAGTGTCACCTCCTTGTATTATTAAAAAAGTAAGGAAAAAGTTTATGTAGAGCTGAGGCTCTCAACAATCAAATTAGAGCCCATCTCAAAAAATTCATTAGAAAAAGCTGTATTGATGCACAAATATCCTCAAATTGATCATCTCAACATCAAGATGCATGGACATGAGAAAAAAAAAAAAAATAGATTTCAAGTTTTGGAATAGTGCATCTCATTTTTTTACCCCCAATTTTTCATAGATCTTCTCGATCTACACTATTTTTTAGGTTTTAAATTTTATAATTAAAAATAAAAATATATTTTAAAGCTAATACAAAGATTTCCAGTATTGAAACCATTTTTTTTTTAAATATTTCTTTGATTATTTAGAGACTAAGCTCTATATAAACTGCACCCAACTTTTTCCCCAAAAATAAATTGAGGAAAAATAATTGCGTAGAGCTACATACAGCGAAGGGAAAAGTTGATATAAAGTTGCAGCCTTCAAATATAGAATTACTCACTTCAAAAATCCATCATAAAAGGTTGTTTTGCTGTTGAAAGACTCTCTAATTGGCCATCTCGACACTGAGATGTATGAATATATAAAAAAAAAAAATTTGAGCCCCAAAAATAATACATCTTACAATATATTATCTATACCGTCTATTTTTAAGATTTTCATATGTTTATATATCTACTTGATTTTAACCATTCGGAGTTTAAAATTTTATAATTAGATATAAAAATAATTTTTTAAACAATTTTAAAAAAAATTTACGCCAAAACTACATACGATAAAATTTGGAGATGTGCTCTAATTGGATTGTTTGTTGCAACCTTATAGAAACCGCACGCTACACCGAATATTTCGCCCCCTGAGATCGGAAATCTCGGTTCCCGCTGCCGGAGAGACCCTTCTCTTAGCAGGTAAGAGAAGGCGCGGGAATACACCGGACATTGGACACACAATACTTGCCTGCATCCTACATGGCGAGAACTGAACAAGCCACGTATACCATAACGGATAATTCCGGAACTTTCCAACGCATCGGGTTCAAAGCCTAGAGCCATCCCGCATTTTCCAAATTGCTGTCAATGCCCTCAAAAAATCCTCAAACCAACCGCCAAGGGAAACAGGAATCAGAATACCTCAATTGCAAGCAAAACTATGTAGGAATCCTCTGGAAATTTGACCTTCTCTTAGTCTGGAGTTTTTTCCAGAAAAGAAAACCCTGTTGTTTAATCTCTCTTTATCTTATTAGTTGGAAATTTTCAAGAACTTCATTGCCATTATTCACTATAAGTTCTCTTTTCCTGAGGAGAGTCTCCCATTCTTGTTCTGCAACTTTCCGTTTGAATTCTCAGCATCCCCCAACAAAACCCAAATAGTGATTTCTTCCTGTAAGTTCTCTCCAACTCTCTTAGAGATCCTAATTTATCACTCCTTTTCATCTCCAATTGGCGGTTTTTATTACTGGGGTTTACGATTCATTCGCAATTTCTTGTTTTTTGGAGAGAGAAGTAGTTTGTTCTTTTTGGGTTTCTCTTTTTATCTCCAATTTTCTGTAAAAAATAAGTGGTTTGTTCTTTTTGGGTTTCTCTTCATCTCCAAATTTCTTGTTTCTTAGAGAGAGGAGTGGTTTCTTCCCTTTGGGTTTCGCTCTTTTCGAGTGGTTTTTTTCTTATTGGGTTTTCTATTTTTCATCCCCGAATGTTGTTTTACAGAGAGAAGCGGTTTTTCTTATTGGTTTTTTTTTTTTTTTTCTCTGTTTTTTAGGAGAATCAAGATGTGGCCACCAATGCCTCAAAGGAAAATGGGAGATCTGGAGGGAGGAGCGGCTCCTCTCTATCCTACGATGCTTGAGAGCCCTGAATTGAGATGGGCCTTTATCAGGAAGGTCTATTCCATCCTGGCCGTCCAATTGCTAGTAACTGTGGCTGTGGCAAGCCTGGTCGTGTTTGTGGATCCTATTCCTCGATTCTTCACCACCACCTCCGCTGGCTTAGGCCTTTACATCTTTACTATCATATTCCCATTTCTCAGTAGATTCCTTACTCTTGGTTATTGTTTTTCTCCCGTATTTGATATTGTTTTGTTCTCGACTATCACGTGGTCTTGAGTTATGTTGATTAGTTCTTTCATGTATTTGACACTGGTTTTGTTCGTGTACCCCTTAGTCTTTAGTTTTTATGGTTGTTTCTCTGTTTTATTTGATGTTGGATTGTTTTTTGAATTTTAATTGTTTCTCTGTCTTGAATTTTAATGTTTATTGTATTTCTTGTATTTTATATTTGGCTTAGGTTTGTGTAAGGTGTCAATATTAATCAATCACGGTAAGCTCCACCTGAAAATCTCGCTATAAGATTTATTTTAAGTAGTCGAGACTCTTATGATCGCCCTAAAGTGTATTTCTCACCCTATTATGAAATTGAAAGATCAAAAAACGGAGTGGATCTGGGGAATTTATGACCACTTAAATATCTTGGCAAGGGACGGTCTACATAACATGTTACAAGATACTATTTTTAATATTTGAAGTTCAACTTTTCTTTTGTATTTATATATAATGAATTGTAAATGATCAAGTGGAGGGTTTTCTAATAACGAATCAACCTTTTCAAATGACCAATGAGTTTTGAGGCACCTCGTATAAAAATTTTCCTTTATATGCTGTCCTTTAGCATTTTTTCCTTGTGAATTAATTTTTTTTTTTGGTGTTTTGTAGTGCTTTGCCCTCTGTTTTACTATCACCAGACCCATCCTTTGAATTACGTCCTGCTGGGCCTCTTCACAATTGGCATCAGCTTCGCAGTGGGCTTGACATGCGCCTTTTCCAAAGGTAATGTACAAAGACAAACCCTAATTTTCATTCTGCAGCCGAGAACTCTTTTATGTCATGTTTCTTTCCCCAACTGTTGTTCACTTGAGAATCCAATTTCTGATAGTGGTTCTGTTTTGTTTCTATTTCTGTAAAGCCTAGTTTTTTCTTATACTGCATCCTTTCAATGCATTACAATGATGCATTAGAAATGGCGATCTTAAAGTCAGTAATTACTCTACCTTGATGTTGAACTCTTGAGCTCCTTTTTTTCCTTGTGTGTTGAAAGTGCATTCCATTTGCTGGACTCTGCTAACATAATCCAAAAAAGGGAATTTCGAGATCGAAAAAACCAAGTGCAATTCTTATATTTGGTCCACTTTTTCACCTATTCTGAAGCTCCAAAACCAAACATTTTGGGATGGAGATGGATTTGCAAGTGAGTGATAAGTGTTTGGGTCCTCGATCCATCTCCATGATCGAGAATTTGGTTACGGTAACAGGGAACCGCGGTCGCGATATTCAATTTCTAGATTTGCGTGAACCATGAAAAGAGGACATGACATTTTGGTGGTGGTGGTGTTTTGTTCATTCCTCTCTCTTGAAGCATAGTGTTACTCCTCTCTAAAGCATGGTGTTACACCTCTCTAAAAGTTGATTTATGTCTCTCTTAACAGGGAGGGTCATACTTGAGGCTGTAATATTGGCGGCTGTGGCGGTGGTGAGCCTCACGCTTTATACTTTCTGGGCTGCAAGGAGAGGGAAAGATTTCAGTAAAGTTGGCCCCTTACTCTTCTCAGCCCTCATAATTCTCATTGTCTTTGGGATCATTCAGGTAAAATCCCGAGACTCAGTGTTGTGAAGTGTCTTTGACAAGGTTCATGGTGAAATATATCTTTGTTTGCACTTTGCAAATGATTCAAACATCTTCAAATTACTTCCGTACTGAATCTCCACGCATGTTACACACACACACACAACAAAAAGACGGCTGTCTTTTAGAGATGTTCCACAGATGGTTGCTAAGGTCTCTCTTAGAGATGTTCCAAGAGATGAGCGCTATATTTTCTGTGACTGGATGATTTAGACATTGAGGGAGTGTTCTGTTCTTATTTGAGTTGTTTGAGAGAGATCGGCTTTCTTTTGCTGCTCTTTCTTAACGTTCAAATAAACAAAAAAGGCTCTTTCCCCTTACAATTGACCGTGATATCAGAGTGGAGTTGATGATGATGGTGCTATTTCGATCTATGTGAGTTGATATTAATTGTGGTGTGGCTGTGAATTGAAATTTTAGCTCTTCTTTCCCATGGGGAGGATAGGACTGATGGTGTATGGTGCCATTGGAGCGCTAATATTCTGCGGATACATCATCTACGACACCGATAATCTGATCAAGCGCCACACTTATGATGAATACATTTGGGCTGCTATCGCCTTGTACTTGGATGTTATCAATCTTTTCCTGTTACTTCTGACCCTCTTCAGTGCTTCTGAATCTTGAACAAGAGAGAGGATACTTCTGAATCTTGAATGCAAGAGATCTTACACACTTATCATCTCATACCTTCACAAGCTGCTTGTATGTAGAAAGATGTGTACATATGACTCCAGTCACCTTCTCTGTGATTTCATCCACCCTTTTTGAGTTATATTCTCTTTTGGCAAATGAGGAAATGCATTGTTCTGATTTGGTTTTGAGTGTCCATGTTAAAAAATAGAAACAAGGAAAATGTGGAAGTGAGTGAGGCTGCGGTCTTGCGTTGCAAAATGAAGCCAACGACCTCCTGATGTGGAATGTTCCATAATTGCCACACCCAATACTCCTCATGATGAAGTGACCGACTCAGTAGTCAGTAACATGTGAGGTGCAAAAAGTATGCGCTTAAAATGAACCGCTTGACGGTCCCCAAGTAGTTTGAACTTTGTTTCGAGGGCAAAGCGATTTGTGATATGGAGCGGGTTTGGATGTAGCACCGGTATGGATCCCGGTTTAGCTGAACCTTTTAGCTAATGTTTCGTCCCCTCCCTTATCCTACTACAAACTCGTGTTTGAATTTTTATTTTAGTTCATTTATTTTTAAATTTTTCTGGATCTATGATTTGACCATCTACATCACCAATCTGATAGATCCAGATTGGGATGGAAGGTGGATGAGCGGCCCGCTAATTGTCAATGTCTAAGCCATTGATGATGAGAAAATGATTCGTTAATTTGGAAAAAATGAATCACGCCAAGGCTCAAATCATGTCGGTCGAAAGCGACTATTGCGGTACAACATTTTAACTTCTCTTACGTACTGGTGGACTGCATGGTAAGAAGAGCGGAGTTGGAATGCTTAGCCGGATGTGAGAAAACCCAAGTGCATATGTGGATCTTTGAGATTAATTAAGGAAAAGCGCAGATCTTTGAGATTAATAAGTGCATTTTTACATCTGAATCGTCGTCAATGACGACAATAAATGTAGTCATAACTGCGTCGTTAAATGTCAATCTTGTATTTCTCGGTGAAGTTACACACGTTACGTACTATACGGTGTCTCAATCATGGTTAGCGAGATAGAGAATAATAGTATCTTGGCTGACCAAAACATCGATAATGATCTGGTTTTATTTTTAAAAAGTTGGAATAAAAAAATCAAAGTCCGAATAAAAAAATCAGGTAAAAAATAAGGTAAGATATAAAATCGTAAATATTTTGGATTTAATTCAAAAAAATATACTGATCGGATATATAAAGATGTGACAATATGAGATTATGATTTATAGTTATTGTATAGATAGATTAAAGCTATTAAAATATAATTTTTTAGCCTCCCTAATGTCATTAGAGTAATATTTAGTAATTTTTTTGTTGAAACTTTTAATAAATCCAATGTCAATGTTTATTCTGTTATCACATTACAAAACATATTGTAGATTTATTGGGAGTGCAAAATAAAATAATAACAGTATTAAACACAAGAAGTAATTAGTAAATAACGAGAATTATAAATCAAGGTATAGAATTTTTTTTCAAAAAAAAAAAAAAATACCCTCAAGATAGTATTTTAGCTAATTAAAAGAAACACAAACACCTAAATATATAAACTAGTGGTCCATCTAAAATGCTATGTTGTATACATCAATAAAACACAAAAATAAAATATGAAATTAATCAAACTTCTTTATGCATAAAAAAAATAACATTTTAATCGTGCACTGAATTCCTAACTACTTAAATTTTGAGTATCATTGAATTTCTCTTGCTCTTTATAAAGACGTGGGTTTAAAAGAAATATAGATTTTTTATTAGGTCACTCTTCCAAATCTGCCTATTATTTTAAGAATGTTTAAGAATGATGTTGGTTTAAAAAAAGATAGATTTTTTTATTAGGTTACTCCAGTCTACCTATTATTTTAATATATATGATTGTTTTTATTTTATTTTTTTAAGAATATATTGTTTGTATTTTTTCGTACACTTTTTTCATGGAATTCATTGGTGAAATTTTTGATGGAATTTTTTTGTTAAATCTAGATTTTTAATTTACTCCCACTGTTAATGTATTTATCTTTAAATCAAAATTTAATAATATTAAGTTAATGAATAAATAAAGTTATAAGGAGAATTTTTTGTTTTTGAGATAAAATACGGATTTATATCTATTCTATTAAAAAAATACGATTTTTTGAAGATCTTTTAAAAAATTCAGAATCCAAACATACTTCAGAAAATTGTGTTTTAAACGGTGACTTGCTAACTATGGCCTTAATCTCTCAGACCTACAAGCTGGTCGACTTTTGTAAGAGGAAGAGGGAGCAAAAAGGAAGGTGATGAGAGTATCTCTTAAACTGTTTTTATATTAATAAAAAATAAGTTTACAAAGAGGCTATTTAAGTCCGAAAAAAGTTTATATAAAGCCAGGCCTCTAAACAAAAATTTCATTAGAGGTAGTTTCAATGCTCAAATATACTCAAATTGATCATCTCGACATTTAGATGTATGGACAAAAAAAAAAAAGGATTTGATGTTCTGGAAATAATGCATCTTTTAACGCATTTTTGGATCATCATTTTTTCAAGTTTTTATAGATATGCTTGATCTACACTATTTTGAAGCTTTAAATTTCACAATTAAAGATGAAAATATATTTTAAGGCAATCAAAAAGATTTTCAGTATTGAAATCACATTTCTCGACACTATTGGAAGGTACATTTATTTTGATTGTTTAGATCCTCGGCTCTATACAAACCGCACCCTTTAAGTATAAGTTCACAATATTTCCTATCAAATTTTAAGTCGGGTGGTTACATGTTACTAACTCGACTCGATTAAATCTGGCATCAATGGTTGGGGGTTATAATGACTTTCTTGTGATAATGGTTTAATGGTATATAATGGTAAATGGTTTAATGGTATATGGTTGGGGGTGATAATGACTCTCTTGTGATTAAAACGGCCTTTTACAAATTGAAATATGATACAATGGCAGTATTAACCCAAAATAAACGTAAAAATAAAAATTAAAAAGAAATGAGAATTAGAGGGTAATTAGGACTTTTTTTCGTTCCCCTCAAGCTAGAGCTTATGCTCTACTTGAAACAACAAATTATGACTATGAGCTTTGATGACGATGTTTGTTATATGGAGGAACACCTGCTTACTAGCGAAGAACAGTTTATCTTCATATATATTATTTTCTCATGAAACATTGAACTGCCCGTTATATACGTCGTCATGGGCTTAGCAAAAGTAAACCCCATCTTCTGCAGCAATATCATCTGTCAGATCAATTTACATGTAATGTATGTTATTGCTCTATATTTAGTCTATGCAAAAATTGATCAAGCTACAAAATTTTATGTCTTACTTTTTCATATAACCAATTTTTTAGCAATTATTGTACAATAATATATGGTAGACAATCTATCAGTTGGAAAACTAGCCGATCAGCATCTGAGCAACCCTCTATGATTAGATAATTATTTGACCTGTACATCAGCCTATACCTGAAGCTACCTTATGGTATCTCAAAAATTCTACGAATAGGATCCTAGTGGGAAATCCTTTGAGAGCGCATAAATCAGCCTTCCTACCAATCTTTTGTACCGTCTGGGATCCTCAAACTCCTCCATAAGAACTAATAATTTTGTATTTGAATCAAAAGGAGTATTACCTCGTTTGGCCCCTAACATTCTAACCTGTTATTAAATCAATCGTGTACATTTTTTTTGTGACATGCTAATGCCATGTTTTGATCTAGCCATTTCAATACCTAGAAAATATCTTAGCCTGAATATTTTTTTCTCAACATGCCTCTTCAAATTACTAATTCCTTCTTGATCCCCTAATGACAATATCATCAAGATATACAACTAAGACAAATTATCTTGGAGTCTCGTTTCCAGATAAATATATAATGATTTGCATGACTGTGTTGAAATCCATATGCCACACCATTTTCACTAAATTTCTCAAATCAAGCATACCAAGGTCGGTAAGCCTACAAATTGAGAGAAGATCAATTGAAATATGTGGGACAAGTAAAAACATCACAAATTTTAGGTCGGATATGAGTGAGAATCTATAGATCCAACACTTGAAATAGCCAAAGGGTCAGTTGAGGACAATGGTAGGGCGTACCAAAAGAGACCCATTTGAGGTCATGTGACGAGAAACCCTTAGAATCACAGATTGAAGGGGAAAGTCATACTTGAAGCGGAAGCAATAGGCATGGCTGGAGAGACCACAATGAACCAGTATTCATGGTTTGTAGGAGAAGTCAGTCAGGTGGAGATGACCACTCTGAAGCTAACTCAGACCATCCCTTGGCCTTCAACTTAGGGCAAACATTCTTTAAATGACCAGAGGACAGACAGTGAATCAGCACAGACTGTTGGTGAAATGGAGGAGGATCCCATGTGGTAAATGAGTGATGCTACGCCACGGCTTGAACCTAGGACTGAAGGCTCGTAAGAGACCATGGCCAAGTTTCCTCCATGATGAATGCGGGAAGGCGGAATCAAGTGTGAGCAATGATTTCCTCCAAAAAACGGACTATTGATCTACTGAAAATCGGCTTTCAACGCGATTTAAATCTACTTAAGGCACTGGGATCACTACAGCAAAGAAAGATAACTGCACGTGCAGCTGGAAAAGAGGGCGTCATCAAGGCTAAGTGGTCCTAATACCTCATCATCATGATTGTAGGGAACTCTAGAACAAATTGTCGCCCCACTTTGACATTCTGAGACAGATTGCGCATAGAGTTTGCGGCTTCTTTTATCGTGTGAAATCTGACAAGTTGGATTGTAATGGTACGATGTACAACTTAGTAATCCAAGTTAAAATCTTGGCATTACCAATATGCCACTCATTTAGTAAACTTTGGGATTCTTAACCGACCCATCCATGTATCCCATAAGCCTTATTCGAAGGGGAAATTTGCAGTAATAAGCCTTATTCGAAGAGGAAATTTGCAGTAAAAAAAAAGACCATCACGGCAACAGGATGCGTGTCCGATGCCATTGCAACCAAATAATGATATGATGCTCAGTGGGCATAGGGAGGCAATTGGGGAACTTTAACAAGCACATTGATGGAACGAAAGGATAAAACATTTAGCTGAGCAAATAGATATCCAATGAGGAAAAGAGTCTGAATTTAATTGGTTAGCACTTGACATTATGGTGAAGTGTAAGACTCTATTCTCATCAAAAAGTAGGGGCCCAAATCCACACTCACTTTACCACTTTTTACTTGCCCAAAAAATTTAAAAAAAATAGATATCCAACGAAGGAAATTTGAAAATGGTGATCAAAGCCCTGATGCAAAAAATTCTAGTCAAATGGGCAAAAGATAACACCAGCAGGAGTGCTATTCGTTTTAAACACAAAATGGATAAATATCCAGAATGAAACCCTCGATCAATTAACAATCCCAAAAATTTTAGAAAACCCCGAGCACTGATCCCAAATTTTGGACAAAATTAGAAAAATATAAACAAAACACAAATGCTCATGTGCCCCGCCAGGCCATGACCATTGGAAAAAAATCAATCACATACTCTGAATCATGGAGAAATCACCATAGATCTAAACCGCAAAATAAAACAAATAGGATATATAACAATCAATTAATAGAGAATGACATATACTGGCATAAGATATAGATGTGAAGATCAAGAAATCTTGCGGATGTCAAAATCCGAATATCAGAAACCAAAATACAAATAAGAAAGAAAACTAGTTCTCAATCAAAAAGGGAGAACAAGACCTAAACGATAAGAATAGCAATATTCATATCCGATCAGCATCTCCAAGTTTAGTGGCTCCAAACCTAAGAAGAGTACTAAACCCTTGCCCTAAGAACATGTCAACCGGGAGATGATAGATTGCTTTCTAATACTACAGAGCTTAAAGAATTATCCTATGATATGAGATGCATAGGACAGCGTAGATATACAATAAAAATATAAAGATCACCTAAAATGCCTTTAATCGAGAGGAATATCCGAAATTACCATTTAACAATATTTAATTAGACAACAAGAGTGACCCATCCTCTCAAGTCTTAACAATATCCAATCCAGACTGTGATGTGGCTTGTTTGCTTTTGATGTCAAACACCAGGGTATCCCACATGGCCATGAATCAAGTTCTTATTGCAGATATTCATTTGGCTTAATTTTTTAGAAAGTTCAACAGGAAGAGATCACGATGGAATGCCAGGAAACAGTTATATGTAGTTTCAAGCTCTGATTGTTCCACTATACACTGAGAAAAACTAAAGGCCATCAAAAACTAATTCACTGATAAACCACTAAAATAATTACATTTTACAATACAAGAAGCCCCAATCTATAGGAAATCTTCATTTTGCCCTAGTACAAAAGTGGGGGGTTGTCGAAGCAAAGCGACATTACAAAAGCCCCATATGCCTCTGTTTAAACCTTGGGACTTTGATCACAACAAAACTTGAACAGAAAATCGCATCAAAGATTGGATTGCACATTGATTTTAGGCATGGCGTTTCTTCTCTCGGACAATAGTTAGTAGCCTTGAAACTCCTTGGGTCCATATTTCATACTCCCTGCTATTTTGACACTCGAATTCTACAACCCCACGCGCAGCAGTTTTCAGGCCAAAGTATCTGGGGCGCTCTCCTGCCTCTATCAAAGGTCGACCAGGCCAAGGAGCAACATCCTTGCACACGTCCAATACAATGTCTGAAATTCATAATTACAGCAGTTGTTGATTAATTGGGCGATTCTATAGTGTTCTGAGATAATAAATGAGAGAGAAAGGTGGGAGGGGAGGGGAGGGGAGGGGGAGAGAGGTTGGAGGGACATAGACTAAGAGTCAGTTCAGTTGTTTTCCAAATGATGTGGAATTGCAGTGATTTTGAAATTGAGAGAGAGAGAGGAATTGTATGGGACAGATATAGTACTCGTCCGTTTTCTTGGTTAGAGAGAGAGAGAGAGAGAGAGAGAACTTGTACGGGACAGATATCGTACTCTTCTTTTTCTTGGTTATGGTCCCTGCTACATGCCTGCTCTTCATCTTAAGACTGACCTGAACAAAGTAAAGTGAAAAATGAGTTAGCCATATATTAGCTAGAAATCAGCAGTTAAAGTGCATTTAGCTGGCTGCAAATAGAAATAAAGGAATCACTTCATTCTGAAGTTAAGATAAAATGAGGACTCAAAACATTCGTGCAGCAATGAAAGGTCCAAAAATTATCTTTTTCAAGTGAAGAAATGATTAAAACGTGATCTCATACCTCGCCCAATCTGTTGATATAAACCGAAACAAATTTCCAGTGGAGGTCCCCTGGTGTTACAAAGCAAAAGATAGTGGTCTTAAGCCAAATTCAATGAGCTAACAAACAGAGTAACACATGAAATTAGGCAACCTATAAGCGAAGAAAACATCAAGCAGAGGGAACAGAGTATAAAACATCTGTAGGCAACAAGAGTTACCCTTTCTAGTGCGTTTGAGAAGTTCGCCTCCTCTAGCAACCAGTTCTTGAGTGCAAAGCCCCACCACCTTGTCTTCTGTAACCAATTCCCCACTAAACCCTGACTCTGCCTGGTGTGGGATCCCCTTCTCAACAGGGATCACAGCCGCAATGTTCCAAACCTCTTTCAAAGCTCGCGCTTTCAGTGTAGCCGCACCTCGAAGGGCTGCATAGAATTCAAAAGAAAAAGAGATCGAAAAAATAAGACCCCAGTTTCAATAAAGTAAGAGATAAAAAGGTATGAAAGAAGAACAGATAAGATAAAGAGAGAGAACAGCATTAAAGAGAGAGAGACAAAGCACTAATCGGACCCAAATCATAGAGAAGAAACAGGACCGAGGAAGAAAAGCATGGCTAGAGAAAGCAGCAAGCCAAAGAAGATGGAGAGAAAGAAAGAAAGAAACATTTGGACCCCATATTGAATTTGCTTTTGATTTCTTTCTTCCCGCTACTTTTCCTTTATACACTGTTTAAGCATTGGTTTATGGGCTATTCTGCCTTTGTCTTTATCTTTTGGAAATTTGACCATGCCACCATGCTATTTTCAAATTTAACAAGAAGCACCATGCTCCTTCGCTTTCAAACCACTGCTCTTACAGTCAAAAAATAGCACACTTCTGCCCAAACATTCCACTTGGTTCGCTGCATGTGAGATGAAAACTAGGCTTTCAGCTACTTTAAGCTCTTCGGGAAACTTGACCAACACACCATATGCTCTTTCCCTTTCAAACAACAACAAGACAAATTGACAATTCTACCCCTAGCAGACAACGGCTACCAGGGCTTGACCAATAGACCACGTGTTTTCACTTTTCAGCAAGCAAAATGCCCAATTATTAGCCTCACTCAACCTTAATTTACTTAAAAACCAACTTCCATTAGAGATTCCTTTGTTTTTTTCTCATTAAAAGGGAATGAGTCAAGAGAAGATGATCAACTTCATATCAGGCTCCAAATAAAAAAGCAGGACTAGTGGGTCCATATACCGTAAGGGAATCTAAACCCATGGACTATGCCATACAGTAGTCCTAGCTCAAATCCAATGCAAGCACTGAATATAGCCTGGAGTACCATAGACCAATTTGCACCGAATTATGGTACACATTATCGTAATGAAAAGACCAAAAACACCCTTCAAAACCAACCATGATTCTCCAAAAGATAACAGAAACTAACTACCCACGAACCAACATGGCCATCACAGACAACCAACACTACAAATATTTTGAAGCTACCCCCCAAGTGTTATAATAACCCTTCTGAAACATTATTGCATAAATATCCATACTACCCCAATGACCAAACTGCCCTCAGAGGTACCTGTGGCCGCGGCAGCAGTGAGGGTGAGGATGTCACCAGGTGACCTAACATTCACAGCCGAGCTCACAACCGAGCCGAGGTGCTCCCTATCTGCCCCCATGCTCTCGGCCACTTCCACACACTGAGCTGCCACAAGTGCAGCTGCAGACGCCACTGCCGCGTCGGTCTTCGACTGGCCCTCGCCCTTGTTGGCGGCGGCTGTTCCAGCAGCTATCGCCGCCACTGCAGCAGCCACTGCAGCCACTGAAACGGCTGCATGCAGCTGTGCGTTCTGGGCACGTGACTCCTCTTTCTTTTTCTCTCGCCTGTCCTTGAGCCATCGCCCCACAGTCTTCCCTCTGTAGTGTTGCTGAGCCTTGAGGGTGTTGCTTAATCTACATAACTGTGACATAGAATGGATTTTGTTAAGAATTGGAAATTTTAAAAAAGATCAATTTTCACTGCTGCCTTGTAGAAACATAACAATTTGGAGGAATTCAAGGGGAAGAAACTTGAAAGATTGCATAGCGGGGCAACATGTCCTCTTTTGTAAATGAATTTTACCATTTTATGCTTTGGGGGCAAACCAATTAACACAATGGAAAATTTGGAGAATTGCTAGACTGACAGATATTTAAATTCTTGTCAGGGCAATATGAGAGATACAGTGAAATTAAGAGGTTGCCCATGCATTCCTAATAAAGAAGAATTTATATTGCTTGATTTATAGTGGATTTATTCACCAATAATATGATTTTTTCACCAAAAAAACAGTATTTATCTTCTCTGGGATTCAGAGCAGGAACCAAGGACAAATAACTGATACATGACTCGGTAACGATAAACGGAAGGACAAGAGAATTAATTGGTTACCTTTCTGAATGTCTGAGAAAAAATAAACTATGAAGGCAACTTGTCACATGTAAGTTACCACCGAGTGTCCTATTCTTGAGGACAGTAGTTACGTGGATGTGTAAAACAAAATAAAAATCATTTTTACTGGTATTTTTACCTTTGCAAAACTACGAATACAATGGTATGTACAGAAGATTTCAATTTTTAGTAAGCAGAGATGAAATGACAGGAGAGAGAGTAATTGAGCTTCTAATGCAAGAAATACAGCGCGCAGGGTTTCTCTCTCGCACTTATATCAAGTTTTGACAACTCGGGTTAAAAAAGGGTTATTTTTCTTGGGGCGAGAAAACCTGATTCAGGAACTTCGTTTCGATGCAATTAAACCAACAGTTGCTGTGTTCTAGAGAGAGAAGCTATTGGGCCAGGATTTGGCGAATGCAGGAGGCAGGATTTCAGTACAGGGTTTCGTGTGGGATAGACAGTAGTACTCAATTGTTAAGTTTTAGAGAGAGAAAGCGTGGCGAGAATTTCATGAACTGCACAAGAAACGAAAGCGTTCAGGTCACGAAACCACGTCCAAACAGGATAACATGTGAAAGATATTAAAACTTATGGAGAGAGAAGGAATAATTGGGAACAACTAAATAAAATAAAGAACTTTGCAGAAAAAAATTAGAAGTTGAGAGAAACACGACATCCGCAAGCATCGAAGGCAATGGATTCGATGCCTTGGTCTCTTTCGGAGAATAGGACGAAAATTGCAAATCTCATGGATAAAGTAGAGTGTAATGCAGATGTGGCATGGGAAGGGGAAAACGGGAAGAGAGGAGGGTAAAGAGAGACACAAGAGGGAGAGGAAATCGAAGAGAGAGAAAGAGACGAAAATAAAGTGGAAAACGAAGAGAGAGAGAGAATGTGACGAAAATAAACAGAGATAGGGAAGCAGGAAGCAGCGCAGGCGGAAGGGCAGAGACAAGAGCCAAAGAGAGAGAAAGAAGCAGGCAAACAAGGCGAGAGATCGAAAACACAGCAGAAAGCCAAGAGAGAGAAAGTGGTAATGGAAGAAATTGAACCTTCAAATCGTCCATTTCAGAAGGTGAAAGAGGAGGACTGTCGGTGAAGGATCCATTCAATGGTCCGCTGCTGTGTGACAGTCTCCCTGAAGTAAGAGGGGAGACTTCTTGCTGCAAGCAAAAACCCAATGAATCAGTATATCAAAGCTTAAAATCTACAAAAATGGAGAAGAACACAGAGCAAGTTACAAAATAAGAGGAAAACCCATAATTTCAAGAGAAAAAAATGAGCAAAAAAAACCCAACTCGGATAAAAAAATAGAGAGAGAAAGAGAGGAAGCAACTAGAAACAGAGAAGAGAATGTTACGAGGGGAGAAGAACGCAAAACTTTAAAAAAAACTCAATAAGAAGGAACAAAACCAAAAACCAAGCATCAAAAGCCAACATTTGAGCGCTCCGACTCACTATCTAATACGCTCGATCACTCGTTCTCTCTCTAAGCACTTACAGACTGAGACATGATCCGCTCCATCACAAGCTGTGAAGTGAGAGAAGAGGCAAATGTGAAAGGATTAGTAGCCACCAATGCAGCCTCCTCTGCTTCTCCCCCATTCTCTTCGAGTATAGCCATGGAGCCATTAGGACCACCTTTCCGCAGAGCCTTTGAAACCTCAAGAGCGGAGAGGCTCCACGACCTGGCCAGAAACTCCATTGGTTCTTTTGGAGTTTCAGGTGGATAAAATGTAGAGGACAGACGATGAGCAGAGGCCTCTTCTTCCTCCATGAAACATGCAGTTGCAGAGCTGGAACTGGTTCGTCCACGGTTGATGCTCTCTTCCTCTTCCATTGAAGGGTCTGGGTTCATGGAGTTAAGCTCTGTATATATAGAGAGAGAGAAAGAGAGGAGGGGCCGAGACAAACGAGGCGGAATGTCAGAGAAAGAAAAATATTCACTGCCACTATCTGAGCGCTCTCTGATAGCGTTGCCCCCTATCCCAATAAACAGTTTCGTTTTCTCTCTCTTTCTTTTTCTTTTGCGACTGCCATCGTTTTTCTCTCTCTACTTTCTAATTCCGCCATCGCGTATTTCTGCTCTCTCTCGACTATGTTGTCGCCTTCGTTTCTCTCTGCTTTTTAATGGCTCTCTCTCTCTCTCCTCTGCTTTTTACTGGGTAGCCTTCGTTTCTCTCTGCTTTTTAATGGCTCTCTCTCTCTCTCTCCTCTGCTTTTTACTGGGTAGCCTTCGCTTTCTCTCTCCTTATCGAAATTTGCAGGCACTGTTTCTCTCTCTCTCTTCCCCTTTCAGGCGTCTTGGGGATGAAAATGACGACGGGGTGGGGATCGTAGTATCTTTCCGCTCGTGCCGGAAACGACAAATGACCATAATACCCTTACTTATGTGCACAATGACCGTATTGCCACATTTTACATTTGTGATGATTTCTCCTTCGATTTCCATTTCGAAAGTGGAGACCAGGGGACGGTGCCGCGACCGAAATGTTAGACGAACAAACTTTTCGACGAAACTTTGGTTTTCAAATGAAAATTTGATTATTTTTGTTTTGGAAAAAGTTTATACTGGGTTGCAAGATAAAATCTTAGAATCTAAAATTAAATTGCATCTTAAAAATACATTAGAAAATATCATTTTTATGTTTTTTAGTAGGGTAACGATCTTATGAGACCCTTCCACATTCACGTGGATAGAGTCTCAAAAAATCATCATTAAATTTTATACAGATATTTAGAAAAGTCAACATTTATGTGATATCTTTTTTAGAGTTTTGTACCAATTTAATGGCGATCCTTTCGGATCTTATACCTATAGATGTGTGAGGGTCTCATAGGATCATTACTCTTTTTTAATATATCTTGCAAAATATTATCGGACTGTCTAGTTTCAATAATTTTATGTGTTTGAACTATATATGAAGTTTAAATTTTTATACTTAATATAAAAATAGGTTTTAAAGTCATTCTAATAATTTTTTTAACTAAAATTACATCTTATGATAAAATTTAGAGATGTGCATTAATTTAATTGTTTAAGGTTACAAAGTTTTTCCTTGGATGAAATTAGCATGTTTTTCCCTAACTTCTAGAGAGGATGAAGTTTCTACCATGCACATGCTTTATGAAAACAAAATAAAGCATCAATACAAATCCTTGACAATAAATCACTTTCAACAATAGAAATCTCCATAATGGCTCTCGAAACAATTTTCAACACCGACAGTGCATATGTGAAACTCAAACAATGGTAAATATTTTGCGGATATGTGAGTACTTACTTTTAGGGTGGAATAGACAATATAGATAATATGTTATAGTATATATTATTTGAGAAATGATCCTATAGGACCTTCCCCCACTCGTGTGTGTGAGACCCCAAATGATCATCATTAAATTTAGCACGGATATATAGAAAAGTCAAAGTTTTATACCTATATGATAACTTTCCTACATTTTCGTATCAATTTTAATGGTGATCTTTTGGGGTACTAGATACATGAGTGAGGGAAGGCAATTACTCTTATTATTTTTAGAGTTTGTGATATATTTTTTTCACAAGTAAGATGCCTTGATAAGGGTGCAGTTTGTATGGAGCCGAGGCTCTAAATAATCAAAGTAAAGCCTACCTTCAAATAGTTTCAAGAAATATGGTTTCAATATTGTAAATATTTCTGGTAGTATTAAAATATATTTTTATATTTAATTATAAAATTTAAAGCTTAAAAAATAACATAGATCAAACATATATATGAAAATCTTGAAAATTGATGGCTTAGAAATACGTTTCAAGATGTATTATTTCCGATACTTGAAATCCATTATTTTCTCATATCCATGCATCTTGATGTCGAGATGATCAATTTGAAGATATTTAAGCATCAAAACAACATCTTCTAGTGAAATGATTAAGGTGGGATCTAATTAGATTATTTAGAGGCTGAGCTCCATATAAACGTTCCCCTTGACGTAAAAGTTTTCCAATACTTGGAATTATAATTTTCAATGCGCCAGGCGTTGTTACTTAATTTGATAGGGCTGCAGCCCAGTCAAACCATTTTCCTTGAGGGAGACGCGACAACCGGGTTTTAGGTAAGCAGCTGAGATAGATAAAGGGTAGTTTCATCATTTTTGAGATTCAGTTAAAATACATGATTTTTTTTTAAGGCCACAAGAGAAGGGTGGACGGACCCACAATGGCCCCGTCGGATACAATGTGGCGAGAGTGATTGTGTTTCCCGGGCTTCTGAGCTTTGGCAGCAATCAAAGCCGACGCAATTTTAGAGAGAGAGAGCTTGGCGTCGGCATACGACAAATTTAGAGAGATGAAGAGGTGGGGAGGGGGTTTCGTTTTCGAATTTTTATGAGACGACAAAGTTATAGGTAAAGAAAGCGAAGAGTTTTATTAGGAGATAGAGAAGGAAAAAGAGATATCACCAACCTTACCTGAAAGAAATAAATAACACATGCAAGTTTAGAGAGAGAGAAAAAAAAAGTTTCAGAGAGAGAATAAGACAAGGTTTAGAGAGAGAGAAAGGGACAAATTAGAGGAGCTTTGGTGGCAGGGGCTGTCCCTATTTTATCAGAAAAAAAAAGGTGGCCGGATGAGCAGAGGAGCGTGGGGGCGTGCTTGGAACGTCATCATCTCTCGGCTCATGCAGGGTTTTAATCCCACGCGCCCCTGTAAAGCACATCCTAACCTTTCTTTTTCTTTCCCTCTAATACAAATTTTATTTTTCTCTCTCATAAATTATAAATATTTTTCACTCTCATTATTTATAATTTTAATAAGGACAATGATTTCATACAACGGTTGTATCGTGGTACCATACAACCACACTTTTAAAAAATCATGTTAGTGGTATTTGTATGACTCAAAATTTTATACACACGCTCTTTTCATCTCAATAATCAATCCTTAAAAAAAAACAAGGTTCGATTTGAACTTTAGATAAGGTCAAAATTAATATCTTCCAACAACGAATCTAGGCCATTCATTTGGTAATATCTTAGCCTTCACAAATTCGAAATTATTTTTTCTTTTTTAACATCGTTCATCAAATGATAATAAAGCCATCTAATAAAAAATAAAAATAAAAAAAATCCTTCTAAAACCTAGATCTAAGCATCTTATCAAAATGGATGACCTATATTAATTGGACTAAAAAAATACTTTCTAGATTTTATTTTCAAATTTTACTCTTTTGTGATTGTTTATTATAATGAAAAGAGTGTATATTTCAAATTTTGGATAAAATAAACGGCTTTAATATAGTTTTTTAATATTGTTGCATTATACTATAATACAACCATTGCATGAAATCACTATCCAATTAATGGATATATCCTCAGTTGCCCTAGGGTCGGGTTAGCCTCGAGTGGTTGTCGGCCTAGCCCAAACCTGGCCTCTTTCACCTTGTCATATTTTGTGATCTAACCCCTGGTTTTGGTTTCCTTTGCCTAGTCATATTTTGTTGTCTAAGCCCTAGTCTTGGCTTCTTTCGCCTAGTCATAATTTGTTATCTAACCCCTATTTTTTTTTTAATAGTTTTTGGTTAATATGATGCATGGGAATTAATTAACATTTTAATGGTTATTTTCTTTCTCGTAAAGTTATTTTCTTTTTGGCTCCTTCTCTAAAGAGGAAGAATATAGAGAAACGAGTTTTTAGAATGTAAGCCCTAGTTTTTAGAGCCACTGCGACCCCTGATCCCATTTGTGCATAATCCATTTTTCACTTTTCAAGACCTCTCCACTCGTGTATATCACTCTTTAAGGTAGAGAAAGAACTTGAGATGTAGCAAATCCAATCGAAATATTAAATTTTTACTCGTTCCTCTGAATTCTTCCACTCCAAAAATCCGGCCAAAAAAAAAATAAATTTAGAAAAAAAAATCATTAAAATGCTAATTAATTACCATGCATCATATTAATTACAAGATGCATGTTTCCGTGAGCACATGTAGACCACGTCTTAGGGTTTTTTGATTTTTATATCCTCTTTTCTTTATATGTTCCTCTTTCTAGAAAACTAGAGAGGAACAACATGAGAAAGGGGTTGGGCCGTGGTAGTAGCCCCTTCTTACCTAGTTATTCTATTGTAGTTTTCAATACCATTGACACCACCCGATGACACTTTAAAAAAGCTAACTTCTAATTTATTTGTAAAAACAAATAGGAGGCTGCCTTCCTCATTGAATTACCCAAAAAAAAAAGAAAAAAAGAGAGGAACAATCAAAGAAAGTACTAATTAATAGTTACAACATTCTAATTAAAGAATTACATGTTTTGAGCGTTTGGTGATTAGCCCACACATCTACTTAATAATAATAATAATAAATAAATAAAAAGGAGAAAAGGGCAATTGTTAAAGATATCATGTTTCATTTATCATTAAAGGGCTTTTTTAAAATTTCCATTTATACTCCTTAAAAGAATATCTTTAAAAGTTTCCAAATTGCCTCTATTCATAATCGAGAATAAAACAACAAAACATAAGCGCTCTAATAATTTGACTAGCCTATGGGTTCTCAACAAAATGATAAGAGGATCCAAATACTTTCAAAGTTATTAAAATATCTCTGGTTGTTCAAAGTCGTCAATCATGAACAACGGCAATTTAGGTGTTCTCAAATATATTTTTGGAGGAAGTACATATATATTTGGAAAATTGGTGAGGGTTTTATAAAGCTGAGGTCCTAAACAATCAAATTTTTAGTAATATTAAAATAAATAAAAATAAAAACAGAGGTCCTAAACGATCAAAGTAATGTGCATCTTCAAATGGTATTGAAAAATATCGTTTCTGTAACGAAAATCTTTATGATGGCCAAAAAATTATTTTCATCTCTATTATAAAATTTAATATTTCAAAAATAGTATAGATCAAGTTGATCAATGAACACGTGAAAATCTTGAAAATTGATGGTCAAGAGAATAAATTACAAAATGTACTATTTTCAAGATTTAAAGTCCGTTTTTTCCTTATGTCTATGTATCTCAAGGGTGAGGGTTTTCTGTTATCGAAACAATGTCCTGTAGTGAAATTTTGATATGCGCCTTAGTTTGATTGTTTAGGCCTCAGCCTTTTATAAATTTTTTCCCTTTCAAACAGAGCAATGATCCAATGTAACGGTTGTATTATAGTATAATACAACTACACTTCTAGAAAACCATGTTTCTAGTATTTCTATGACTTTAAAATTTGCACACACGCGT